ATCAACAAAAGCTGAAATTTCAATAAGGGTGTGCAGACCTTTGATATACACTGTCACTGCACACACACATACTGTATATATACACTATCACTGCATACATACAGTATATATACACACAGGCAATGCATACACAAGGAATGATGCTGTGCACATGCACGTTGTCCATCTTGCATTTGTTGTGAAGATGTCCTGTCTTACAGTATCGCACTGTACTTACCGCTGACATCTGTCGCAATGAGCTCGAGCAGCAGGCTGAAAGGATTCTTTTCCACACAGATGCCCAGCTGCTGCAGTGCAGCAGGGTTTGAACCGGAGAGCCCCCTGTGCCTCTGTGCAGGCTGCTGTGTGCACAGCTCACTCTGCTGCTGGGAGGACAAGGGGGTGGGGAGGGTTTCCAGCCTGCAGCCAGCATGTGCAGAGCTCAGAAATCGCGAACACGTTGTGCTGGTTGCACACGAGCACAGCCATCTCTGATCTCTTTTACATGAGTTATTATACCCTTCACTAATGGTTCCCATATTTTCTCCTATTTTTAGTTTTTTTTTTTTCCAGGCATTTTCAGGCCATAGAGATGATCAAATCGGCAAAATTCTCGGTTTGCTCAGGGCATCTGGGTGGGAGTGCTTGCTGTAGAGGTGTAATGATAGCTTATCCCTTCGTTCCAACATGACAAGGCGTCTCAAGTTACCCTGGTCTGCTCTGACCAGATGGCTACACAGTGCTGTTCCTGGGAAAGTCTGGGGCCCTCGTCCTCCTGTTGTTCTCTGAAGGCGCCTTTTCAGTTTTCTCAGAAATGAAGAGCAGGCAGGCTTGGCATTCCACTGAGCTGGAGCTTCATACCAGTTTTAACTTCGGTCTTAACGAACAGTAATCGCACCTTTGCTCAAAACAGACAGGCGTGCTGGAAAAGGAGTCCTTAACAAGGAATGGCTGGGAGGCTTGCGTTTCAAAACCTGACGTCCCCCCCCCCGTGTGGGAGAATCGTGGGGTCCAGTCAGTGATATCTGCTCTCGAGTTTTGCTCGCAGATTGGCGTTTATTTGTTGGAACACCTGCGTTGTAGCCGCTGTTTGAAATCGGGGAATATGCAGCCCTGCTTTCTCTCTAGCTGAGCTCAGTTGTTTGCTCTTTCCGTAGACATGTTAGGACCTCAGATGTGCCAGAGCAATATTTGGATTAGGGCTTAGCAGGATAAGTAATCGATAGGAAGGGAGACATAGTGGATTGAGTTACCTGTGTTATGCGTTGTAAGACTACGGTCTCGAGTGAGAAATGACCTCTTTGAGAGCTGGCGTTGAGATTCAAGTTGTGTGAAGACCTCCTCCCTCCTCTCACCAGGTGGCTCAGTTACTGAGCACCGATCTGGCCCCGCCTGTGACTCCCACCGCCTGC